TTTTAACCCAAAAAGCAAATTATGCTCCCTTCGAACTGGTTGTCTTTAAAATACAAATCTTGTGTAATCCCAGGCTATCTGTAATCAGAAGCACATTTAAAACTGGAATATAATTTAATTTCATTCATATGTGTTTCATAAACACATAATCCTTTCTGGATTACAATCCGCCATCAAAATGATACATTTAATTATTCCAGAAGCTGTGAGAAAAGGCTATAAACGATCAGCCACCTGCAGCATCCTTACATGCAATAGCCTAGTAGCCGGGACAACTTCTTTATGTTTACAGAAGTGATGTAATGACGCAGTGGCATGCTCGAATTTCCCGCGAACCACTCAAATTAGAAAACATTATTATAAACTGACCGTTGTAAATCGGGCTAAAGTAAGGCGATAGTTTCGAACACTGGCTGGTTATGTACTTGCTCAAATATTGATTTCGGATAATTTTTAACCAAAAAAAGTTACGGACTGCAGCTTTAACAACCTTCTCATTTTCCTCAAATGTAAATCAAACGCCTATTCACAAACATATCGTGACTTCACCTTTTGAGCAATAGAGATATGCAGAAATGAACTGATATTAACGTTAATCATTTATTTGCCCTCTGTTAGGCAACGACATCAGATGTTGAATGACTGCATGAATTACAATCAAAAAAATAAATAATAGCTTGCCAATTTATATTAGTTCACTTGTACACTGCTGTATTTTAATGCATTGTTTTTCTTTTCCCCTTTGTCTTTTCTGTTCTGCGCCCCAGAGCGTTTCTCTCCTCTCTTCATTTTGGTCATGCGACTCTGTCTGTGACGGTAATGTGTCAAAGGGTGAGCGGTTGACATGCACTCCGTTTATAATAAATCAATTTTTTAACTTTTTAAAAATGCTCCCCCCTTCATGTGGCGCCCCTATGCACTGCATATACTGCATACCCCATTTTTGCGCTACTGGTCAACACCATAAAGCTAACATGTTGTGATTGGTAGAGTGTTGCTGTATGATTGATAATGTATTTTTAAGTATACTTTATCCAACTCTCCAAGTACTAAAGCTAAAAAGCTAACAAGTACTAAGCTAAGAAAAGTCCATAGATTTACAGATCTATTAAAATGGTGTAAACCAGAAAGTCACGCTCCGCGTCTGCTCAAAGTAACTTTTAGGCTGCACAGACTCAGACGCTTCCTGTGCTGAGCGTATCATGTTAATTCTGAAGCAAATACCTGCCTACAACATGAGCCAGTCATGCCGACCTGAGAGAGGAGGGAGAAAGGCAGGCCAGAAATGTGAAGATGAAGGTCTTTTGAATAGCATGGAGTGAGACAGCACTCAGACAGGTGAATTTTATGGTTGCTGTGTTGAGGCTTTGTAAGGGAAATTTTATTTTATTATTATAGGTATTATTTGCTTCACTGTACTAAAGAGTGTTCTTATTCACTGTCCCTGAGTGCTTCATCAATATGCTTGTGTTTTCGATGAGCTGAGAGATAAGAGGAAATCTATTTAATGTGTGTGTGCAAGACAAGTGCGAGATGCTATTTTAGACCTAGCATCTTCTAAGAAATGATCTGCATTAAATACTTAGAAACGCATCTTGGGGACATAGTTGAATATGCATTATGATTGGTTGAGATAGAAGCATCCTGATTCGATTAGGGTATAAATAATGAGTTAAGGTATTTTCTCTTTGTCGCACTCTGTGGTCAACTTGAATGACTGTATGACTGTTGGCTATTTCTTGCAAGAAATAAGTATTCAAAGGACTTTCTGCCTCTTGCCTTATTGAAATAGAAAATTGACACAACAGGCTTGTTTTGACTTTCACTTGTTTCTAAAACAGGAGCAGGTAATTTTGGGAAATAGATAAGACTGTCCGAGCCCTGATATACAGTATGTAGATGTTAGACACATTATCTAATCTGTGAACCGAACACCCTAAATTTGCCAGTCCTTTGATCTACAGTAACACTGTGAATGATATTTAGCTTCTAAAGCTAATATAACATCTTAAGTAAACCATCTACACTACCATTCAAAAGTCTGGAGTCAGTAAGATTTTTATTTTTTAAGAAAATAACTCTTTTATTCGGCAAGGACACATTACAAAAGATTTTTTGTTTAAAATAAATGTTGTTCTTTCTGTTCATCAAAGAAACCTAAAAAAAAAAAGATCATGGTTTCCACCGAAATATGAAGCAGCAGACCTGTTTTCAATAAGAAATGATAATAAGAAATGTTTCTTGCGCAGCAAATCAGCATATTAGAATGATTTCTGAAGATCATGTGACACTGAAGACTGGAGTAATGATGCTGAAAATATAGCTTTGCCAACACAGGAATAAATTACATTTTTATTTTTTTTCAAATTACTTTTCCTGCTTTAAGTGTAGATTTCTGATAAGTTATATGAATACCTACGTGGACTGATGAGGTCCATCCTCCTGCAGTCATCCTGCTCGATAGTGATGGGACAGTAATACACGGCTCCGGTTTCATTAATGTTGAATTTGCTGAGTTGGGGCTGGGCTTTTTCTTGGGGTGCTCCGACTAAGAGGCTACAGAAGAACAGCAAACACTCAATGAAAAACTCAAATCGATAAAATTAAAATGTTTCAGAATACAATTCATCTATTTTCTAAATGCATATTATATTGTGAACAATTCACCAGTGCATGTTTCATTCAAACAAAAATGGACCAGGACTTCTCCAATCATTTAGTCTGTTTAAACCACACCTCTAGAAGCTTGTGTCAGCATGACTTTTAACCAGAATATGGGCCTGAACTGAAAATTATGTGCATGTAAAAGTGGTCAGCATGGTCTCACAATTGTCTGTGTAATTGTGTCACAATTTCCTCATTTTATCTGGTTAGAGAATAAATAAATTGTGGGTGGTGAAAACATAAAGAAACTGCATGAGTTCCAAATCTCAAGTGATTCTTGGAAAAAGAGTAGTCTGTACAACCACTGGTCTTAAAAGTCTTACATTTGAATAAACAAAAGTGACAATGTTTCATTTAGTTCCAATTTGGATCTCAATGATCAAAACAATTGATAAAAATCCAGCACTCAAAGCACTATGCGTAAACAATGAATGTAGAGAGTAAATTCGTAAATTCATGGTTTTATAACTGAAAAAGAATGAAGGAAAAGAGGATTCGGGAAAGCAAACAAGCCCAGACCTGAAATGAAAGGTGTAAAGAAAATGGTTTACCTTTTTATTTTCTCTCCTTCCCACGTATTATTACACATTAGAATAAGTTGAGGGTAAAGCAATTCAATAAAGTGGCAGAGATGTCCTGTAACCAAACACCTGCCACCATGGCATTTGATCTAATAATAACATACTAACTAGAACTGTACCTGTTTTGGGCCCATTAATGTATAGAAAAAAGCAAATGACAAATTTATATGCAACTGAATGTAAGATTTATTAACAGTGTTTGCCTAAGGCTCTTTCTCATGACTAAGGGCTTCAGAGTCATGCGCTGCTTTGGCCTTCACAGGCAGATGGCGTCACAGAAGGGAGATTTTTATGAGGTTGCTAGGTAGCAAGTAAGTGGTAAGTGTACATATTAAACAGTGAAAGCATGTACTTGTGCTAGAACAGAAAAATCTTGCTGATTGCTTTGATAGACAAAAGAAAGAGGAACTGAAAAAGTTAAAGAAACTTATCTCAGGATGCTTTTTGAATTAAAATTAGTCTAGCAACTGGTCACCATGATGACATGTTTTTGAAAATTCAGTATTAAACTTCAATTATAAATAAACATAATTATATCATTAAAATTAAAAACTGTGTGCAATTGAAATGTCAGTATACAACTCAGTTTTTTATTTCATTATTATATCTAAAAATAAAGAGCTATTGAATTTAAAGTTTTGACATTTGGACGTACTATACCTGATTGTGACGAGTGGGGCGGGGCCGAGAGCCGTGGGAACGGAGCGAGGCCAGTGGAGTAAATGCTAATGCGCGACACCTGCGCCACTCACCGGTCTCGAGTCCCACAGAGGAGCTCCGGAAGGATAAAAGGAGGAGTGACGACAGTGGTGGACGAGAGAGGACCAGGCCTGGACTTTATTTTGTGTTTTGGTTCTGTTTGTGCACGGCAGTCGTCCGTGAGGGGCTGTCGCGCTATTTTGTGTTTATTTTATTATTAAAGTTTTGTTTGAATGTTCGCCGGTTCCCGCCTCCTTCTTCCCGACCTACGAACATTGTTACATTGGTGCCGAAACCCGGGAGGAAGGAGGGACACGCTGCCAGAGATCCCTTGCCGCTGTGGTGAATCCGCTGTGCCATCGAGCATGGGGGAGCAGTCTGCCGCTATGGATGCTCGAGGAGGTGGGCTGGAGTGAGTTGCCGGTGGGGGGGGCTTTCAAACTCGCTGCCGGCCGCCTGGGATGTGGAGGGACGACTGCCGTCCGTGAGGGAGAGGAGGAGTCGCCGCCGTTCGCCTGAGGCCGGAGCCTGCTGCCATCCGCCATTATGGGGAGGAGCAGGGAACGGGGGACTCCTGCCGGCTGCCCGAACCCGGAGGAGCCATCACCGCTGAATTAGTTGTAGAGATTTGATAGAATTGGCTGGAAGACCTGCTAAGAGAGCACTGCAATAGTCCAGCCTGGATAGAACAAGAGCTTGAACAAGGAGCATGTTCCGAAAGAAAGGGCCTCATCTTCCTAATGTTGTACAAAACAAATCTGCAGGACCGGGCAGTTTTATCAATGTGGTCTGAGAAATTCAGCTGATCATCAATCACAACTCCAAGGTTTCTGGCTGTCTTTGAAGGAGTTATGGTTATTGTGCCTAGCTAGATGGTGAAATTGTGGTGACGCAATGGGTTTAATGAAACCACAAGCAGTTCTGTCTTGGCAAGGTTGAGTTGAAGGTGATGGTCCTTCATCCAGCAAGAAATGTCGGTTAGACAAGCTGAGATGCGAGCAGCTATCATCGGATCATCAGGGTGGAACGAGAGGTAGAGTTGAGTGTCATCAGCATAGCAGTGATATGAAAAGCCATGTTTCTGAATGAGAGTTTTATCAATGTGGTCTGAGAAATTCAGCTGATCATCAATCACAACTCCAAGGTTTCTGGCTGTCTTTGAAGGAGTTATGGTTGATGTGCGTAGCTGGATGGTGAAATTGTGATGAAGTGATGGGATTGTTGAAACTACAAGCAGTTCTGTGTTGGCCAGGTTGAGTTGAAGGTGATGGTCCTTCATCCAGCAAGAAATGTCTGTTAGACAAGCTGAGATGCGAGCAGCTATTGTCGTATCATCAGGATGGAATGAGAGGTAGAGTTGAGTGTCATCAGCATAGCAGTGATATGGAAAGCCATGTTTCTGAATGACAGAACCTAGTGATGTCATGTAGATAGAGAAGAGAAGTGGTCCAAGAACTGAGCCCTGAGGCACCCCAGTAGCTATAGATAAATCCCAATAAATCCCTTTATTGTCAGTTGTGGTGTGGTCTTTCCCATTCTCACAGAATTAAAATGATTATTTAACATTTAAAAACCTATTCAAAAAAATTTATATTAAAACATGATTTTATTTATTTTTTCTTAATGTGTAAAGCTTATCAATAAGAAAAAAATGTTTTCCTCCTTTTTTCGATATTAACTTTCAGTGCTGCTAACCACAACATATTAGCCCTTGGAGTGAAGAAATTCAGCTTCTGCTCTGAGAAGGTGTTATTGACGTCATCAGAGATGGTAGCTATTTCTGAGCCCTGGGGACACTCTCTATCACCAGGTGTTAGCACAGTGATCCTAGCAAGAACAGTTTGGACTTGTAGAGTTGTTACACTCGAGCACATGCCTCACTGATAGCAGAGGATAAAGCTTTTCTTAGACAAACTGAGGCACAATATCTACTGTTTACATACTGTTTATATACTTACTGTATACATATCAATATGTATCGCGATATTATTTTTTTCAATATCGGTGATATGATTTTTAAACACATTTCCGATATTTCGATATACATTACCAGTTTCCCATACATTGATTTATTTGTGCCGTTTGACTTCGTTGAATAAACATGAGCACTGCACGTCTCAAAATCATAACACGGCGCGGTTGTTTTATATGAAAGTATCTCTGAAGGGAACCGACTGTCTTCAGAAAAGTTTCGATGGCATTTTCATTTGATCTGATAAAGTAGCATTCGTGAGCGGAGCTGCTTTGATTACAGCCATTACTGGAGAAACCGCTAGTTTTATCACTCTAAAAGCGCCTCCTGCTGGCAGAGAATGAGTTTTCATTTTAAATAAGCCCGTCTCCAGCAAGGTTATTTTCGTAAACGAAAACTAAAACTAAGACGAAAACGATTGGTCAAGAAACATTTTCGTAAACTGAAAAAAAAAAAATAATAATCAAAATAAATTGATGTGTGTCGGTTTAGGGAAATACCCGTAAATGGCGCATCATGCACGTGAGGTTATCTGATGGAGAGACG